AAAATCCCCTGAGGTCTTACACACACACACAAAAAACAAAAACCATTTCAGAAACAACTGCTGTGAATTTTTTGTTACAGTTAGGTTGTTAGGACATATAGGATAGAACTAAAGGAAAGTATCAACGCGTGTGTTTGAATATACGTCGAAAACTACACACATGAAAATCCCCTGAGGTCTTACACACAAAAAAAACAACAAAAACCATTTCAGAAACAACTGCTGTGAATTTTTTGTTACAGTTAGGTTGTTAGGACATATAGGATAGAACTAAAGGAAAGTATCAACGCGTGTGTTTGAATATACGTCGAAAACTACACACATGAAAATCCCCTGAGGCCTCACACTAAAAAAGAAACCTTTGTAGAAAAAGGTGTTGTGAACTTGTTAGGACATATATGATACTTAAGTGGATAAGCATATAACACACGCAACTTAATCGTTAAGATGAGAAAAAAAAAGTTCTATCGCAAGCAAGAAACCTTAAACGTTTACCTTTAACTTAAAGCTTGAGTCTCAGTGTCTTGGGTTGAAAGCTGATGGGGTGAGCCTAAGCAACATGTACGGGTACGCTGGTGGTATCGATGTTACACAACACACACAGGAAGGCGTCCATGATATCAGACATGTTTAAAATTGGTAGCGAACAGCTAAAGGAGTAGTTACTTAAAATAACTTTACAGCACACTAATGTTTTAAACACAAATAACACAATGCAAAAATTAAAATAACTGCGAATTTTGTGAGATTAAATCCGACTCTAAAAGCAGTTTTTTTTTAAACTGGCAAGACACACCCACGGGACCATAGAGGTCGAGTACGATATGTTTGTTGTTACTTGTTATATATTGTATATTACGTATATGGAGAAGGTGTTTCTTAAATTGAAAGGCTTAGGACCTTATTTGATAAGGTAAGTTGTTCGTATATTCTTCAAACACTAGAAGCTCCTGTATACAAATTAAGTTAAGAATACAGTACTGCGCATGCTCATAGTAAATGTAAATAGAAACGGTCATAACTTTTTCAAGAATACTACATACTTGTGGAAACAAGATGAGTTGGAAGAAGGTAGTTGAAAGATTGGAAAATAAACATTTAATGTGAAAATAAAAACACGATTTAATTTGTTATTACTTTTTATCAATAGCAATAACAATTAGTCATTTTGATAAAAAGGTTAGAGAAAACGACCTTTATACTCCAGATATTCTTAACCAACGTTTCGACTTTACGTTATTTGATAATGTTTTTACTTTTAAACAACGTTTCGACTTTACATTATTTGATAATATTTTTATTTTAACCAACGTTTCGACTTTACGTTATTTGAAATAAAAGCCCTCCAGTGGCACAGCGGTATGGCTGCGGACTTACAACGCTAGAAACCGGTATACTATGGTATTCTGTTTGATTCCACACCTGATTTAGCCCATCGTGAGCAATTTGCCCAAGTGATTCGGTTTGTTGACATTGACTTTAAGACAAGAAAAATAGAAGTCAAAGAGTCATTTATTGACTTTATACAGATAAAGGAAAAAGACACTGCCAATACTGAGAAAACAATAAGCACAAAATTAGAAGTGGATGGAACTTTAATGAGTGATTGTTGTTCATAATGTTATGATAATGCTGCTGTCATGTTAGGTCACCTGTCAGGCGTTCAACAAAGAATTCTGAACAAAAATCCAAAAGCAGTATTTATAAACTATGACAACCATAGTTTGAACTTAGAATGTAGTTTTGCATTTTTGGAGAAATCTTTTATCATCTATCAATCGAGTGCAGAAACGTCTTCAGGACCCAAAAATGAATTTTAGAGAAGCAGCTACTGATCTTGATTCCTTGAAAGAGAAATTGATAGAAGTATGTATCGTTACTACCTTTATTACGTAATTACGACAATAACATTGTACAAACAAGTATGTATCGTTACTACCTTTATTACATAATTACGACAATACCATTGTACAAACAAGTATATATCGTTATTACGTTTATTACGTAATTACGACAATACCATTGTACAAACAAGTATGTATTGTTACTACCTTTATTACGTAATTACGACAATAACATTGTACAAACAAGTATGTATCGTTACTACCTTTATTACGTAATTACGACAATAACATTGTACAAACAAGTATGTATTGTTACTACCTTTATTACGTAATTACGACAATAACATTGTACAAACAAGTATGTATCGTTACTACCTTTATTACGTAATTACGACAATAACATTGTACAAACAAGTATATATCGTTACTACCTTTATTACGTAATTACGACAATAACATTGTACAAACAAGTATGCATCGTTACTACCTTTGTGTAATTCTCATTTCCACATAAAACTATATGTCACGTTATTATCTCTTATACGTCAAATAAAGTGTGTATTAAGAAATGAAATACCAATATGTATATTTGGACTATGAGTCACAACAAAATGTATAATATTCTCTTTAGATATGACAAAAGTAAGTGTTTCAAAAACCACCTCATTTTCAGTCAAGTCATACTTACATTGTTTCATCTAAAGTTAATTGATTCATTTTAAAAGATTCATAGTTCATAATTTGGACTATGAATCTCTCCAAAGAGAGATAATCTGGTTTTATATTATAGTGAAAAATAGTGGCCAATGATACTTTTTCTTCATTTCACTCCACCTATCCGATGTATAGGTTTTTCTCATATTGACTTCAAAGCAGGCCCTCACCAAATGTAATGATTGTAAAATTGGTTCTTTAGATACGAAACTTTCACTGTATTATGGTCAAAACAATGTAGATAATGATGACCATGTTTTTTACCTCCTGAGAAATTTTGAAATGTAAAGTATGTTTTCCTCGGTTAAAATTGTAATTTTCAAAACAGATTAATGTCACATACGACCTTTTTAATAAACGAACATCGTTGACAACTTGAAGATAATCACGTACAGCAATATGGCTACATTTCAGGTCGAATCTTCATCTCACTTCTCTTCATTGATTCTTTACCTCCTTTAAAATCGTCCCAAATGATCTCTTTCCAAGATAAGGTTTCACCACCTGGTACATAGGGGCCGTTCAAGTTTGCATGAAAACAATCTTTAAACCACCAACCACTGTCGTATGCAACAGCGCAGCTTTTAGATATTTTATCATTGTCCCTATCAAAAGTGGAGAATTCAGAATTGTTGGCTCTTCCCGTCAATGAGTCTCCTGAAGAAAATGTTAAGTATTAATTAGCAGTAAAAAGAATCAAATTGAATGAAACACGTACTTAAATAGAAAACTTCTTGACATGTTGATTCTTGATGTTACGATGTTTCCTTACTGTTGAAAATTAAATTAAAAAAAGCCACTGGAACCTCGTGACCTATTAACTATATGTTTTGATTTCAGGCCAGTTCAATAATAAATTATACACAGTAACCGCAGTGCTGTATTTGTAACTTTATAATAATATAACATAAGTATGTTGTATCTTTGTGTAGAAATGTCGCACTATTTATCTACTATAAAAAAGCGTTTTAATTTGTAATTAATGATACTAAAACAAGCTGTCATGGAAAGAAAGATTGAAGAATGAACATATTTATCATGATTCAAACAATAAAACTCTCTATGATATGGAAGTCTGATTATAAATATAACATTTTATAAAAGAAAATATTAATATAACACTCGTCAGTGGAGATAATAGATAAAACTATCAGGAAGGAAAGAAAAGACGGTATAAATCGTTCTTACCAGCGTTTCCACGGTAGGACCCAAACGTTAACCTGAAGTTTTCTCTATCACTACGTACTAAGAAGTTACTGTATTTGGCATAAGCTTTTTCACCACCAAATGTTTCAATGTCTATCCGGAGTTCCATGTGGTGACCGTTGGTAAGTATGAATATCAGTTCATTTCCTGTACCAAGAAACACCGATTAGTGGAGAGAACTACTTTAACCACAACAATAATGAGCTAATGTACCTTTAATCAACAGATACTAAGTTTTAGTGTAACATCAAAACAGTAGACTTACGTACATCTGTGTGTCCTGGTTGTCGCTGTTGTTAGTTTAAATTAATATTGATATAACGTTGTTAATGTAGGGACCGTTATATTTCACTTTAAGGACATTCACATAATATTTGTTGGTTCATGTCAATAGTTTTTACTATTGACTATAAATATCTATATGGTTCATTGATGTTGGTAAATATTACTGATTCATGTTGCAGTTGATACAAGAAGTTTTATTACTTTTCTTTACAATGAAATTTGTGATCGTATATTTCTTTGTGAATTAAACAACTCGGAAGTTTAGTAAAATTACTTATTGCTATTGTTATTCTACTTTCTGTACATTGTTTTTATATGTAGAACTTATTGCATTACATCTTCAGATGTTGTACTCCAAAGCATCATGTTAAGTGATATGACCTGGACAAGTCTCGTGACTAGATTTGTTCCATCAACTGTATTTAATTCAACATGTTACGTTTAATTTTATAGACTGTACGACTTTGTTTCAATCGTTTAAGGTATATATATGAAATTACAGTTGTCTTTACACAACAACTGACTTACCAGTACGGACCCTAAGAAGAAATCCAGGTTTGTAGAAGGTAAATTGTATTAAGTTTGTAATACCAGCTGGAAACATGTATAAAAAGTATCTGAAGGGAAAGGGACTGTACTTGAAATAAGAGATATTTATCTTATCTTGTAAACACGTGTAGACACTTGAGAAGTTTCAACTTCAAATAAACAAGTAAAATACAATTGTCTTAATATATTATAA